ATTCTCTCTATTACGTTTATCGTTAGAATAATCTTTGGAACAAAAAAATTCAATAATCTTCAAGAAAAATAACTTTCACTTTTTTAAATAAACTTACATCTTTTGATTGAAATAATTTTGTCATAGCAAAAAATGTTTCTGTTGCTTCTGTTTGACCTAGTTGTTCTCCCTTAAAATAAAAATATTTATTTCTTTTTTTCTAAATAAAAATAAAATAATCTAAATAATAAGGAACAAATTTTCCCAAAATGATTCACTTTTCACCAGTAACAAAACAAAAGAGAAAATATATGTTTTTTTTACCATATCTGGCTGCAAATGACAGTGACAGAAGTCTTTAGTCAAAGAAAAAATTATTTATTGATTCTTACTTGATTAATCATATAAATAATTTTTGTTAATATTTGAATACATTTTCGTGCGTTTACAGGTGTTTCATTAAATGTACGAGCCTATTTCAAATAGATTATTTAAATTCAAAAAAACAAAATAGCTAAGTTTAATAGTTTACTTCTTGAAGAACAGATGCTTTTTCAATATTCTTATATGGATTTCCACTTGTCCCCGATTCTTCATCCTTTTTGTCCTGTTTTCGGAATGATGAAAGCATTGATTTTGCTAATCACAGGTAATACAAAAAGATCTAAATAGAAATTTATTTTAGGTTAAGATTCAACCAAAAGAAAAAGAAAACAAACTATATGGTCTAGTTTCAAATGAAAGAACATTTGTTGGAATTGACAACATGGACCAATCAAATTATCCAACAAAACCTTGTACTCATTTTATATTATTTTTTCAATAATCAATTCAATTGAATTTTTCAAAAGAAGAAATTTTCATAAAAAATAAATTTTATTCTCATAATAATTAAATATTTCATAAATGTCGCTACAATCGATTAAATCAGTTGTTAACGTTGTATATAACAATCAATTATTTTGTATCTATCACAAATGATTTGTTTGTTGTTTGTCTGTCAGTCATAAGAGGCTTTTTATTTTCAATAGAAAAAAGAAAATGAACATTTATTTAATTGTCAAAATATTTTTAAAATAAATTAGCTAGGGAGAATGTAAATAATACATTTCCCTTCATTAACAATTAAAACTTGATTTTTTTGTGTTAGCACATAAGAAAAAAATTATTTAAATTCCTTTCACTTTTAGTGTAATTTAATTTAATTCAACAAATCGAAATAATTAAAAAAGAAATCAGTAATAGTATAACAATTGGTATGTTTAATGGCTGCCCATGTCTATATGACACGCTAGCGACACATGTGTCGACACATTCTATGACACATGTGTATTCAGTCACGCTTTTACACATGTGTTACCAGCGTGTAGTGGTGTGTCGACACATGTGTCGCTAGCGTGTCAGTGTCGTTCTTTAAATCATCCTATTGGTTATTTTTCTAGATATATTAATATTTAATATTTTTTAGCAGCATTTGCTGCACAATACCTTTATTTCAATAGAAAAAACTATGTATTTAAAAAAAATGCTAAAATTTAAAAGAAAAACTAAAATATGCATAAAAAATCATATACATAAAAAATTATATACATATTAAACACAAAAATATATACGTATAAACTATACATAAAAATATGAATAAATAGAAATAAAAAAAAATATATATATAATATATAAATTAAAAAATAAAATCTACATTAAAAGAAAATAAAACATAGATAAAAATTAACATGTACATAAAGAGTTAGCATGAAAAATATAGTAATAAAAAAAACCAGAATCCACACAGTTTTATTATTCATAAAACGGAGATGTTTTTGAAACAAATATGGGTAAGCGTATAAAAAAAAAGAAAATAACATTAAATTATATAAAAAAAAACCTACATGAATATTATTGATGATTTCATCCAAAAAAATTAATATAATATTCATTATTGAACTTCTAGATCTAGAATTATAAAATAAAGTTCAACTTAATTTCAAAAAATGAATTTATTCTGAGCTTAACAACGAAGTTTCGAATTTATATATGATAAAAAGAGAATTTTTTTTCCTTTTCTTCATCTATAATAGATCGTCAAGTTCACGTATGACATGTACGAATTTTCTGTTCACAAATGAAAGAAAATAAAAAAACTAAAATACATACAATTTTCAATATCCATATGAGCAGAATAATAGATAAATAAACTCGGTTCAATAAAAAAAAAAACACAAATTTCTTTTTATATAAATTTACATGGAATCCATTAAAAAAAAGACCTGTTACTTGTTGTGCAACTGATTCTTTTGTCTAATTAAATGTCATCAAAGCTATGTATCTGAAGATCAACATCAAAGTTATTCAAGTTATTATTCATATGAATTTGATTAGGAGTCACATTTTGATTGCTGTTAGTATTATTATTACTATTATTATTATTATTATTATTATCATTATTATCATTATTATCATTATTATTGTTGTTGTTATTGTTATTATTTTGAGCTGCTCGTGCTTTTGATCTGGAACGAAAGTAGATCAAATAATGGTTAAGAAATAAATGATAGAAAAACAAAAAAAATAACTTACTTATCTCGACTTCTTTGTGAACGTTCTTGCCAATATAAACTATCATGTCCTTTTGATTTCATGAATGTGTTAATCAAAGATGGATTTTGTGAAAAGTACAGTTGAACCAGACATTCTTTAATAGATAAATATATATAATAAAAACGAAAAATAAAATATATCATGTAAACAGAAAAAGCTACCTTTAATTTTTTCTAATCGTTCATCACCAGCTTGAGACTTCAATTGCGGTACACGACTTTTTATCTCGTCAGTTGTATACATTTTTCGTACTAAATTACATAAAAATGTGGTAGGTAAAGGTGTTCGAGTATTCTCGATCAGATTCTCTCCATTCCAAAACTACAATAAAAAGTTATTCATGAAATTAGAAAAAAATTCAGAAAATCAAAAGATACTCACAACTGGAGTTAATTTTGATGTAGGTTGTGAAGTTGGAAAAAGCTGAAAATAAACGAAAAACATTAATGAAGATTGTGATACATGATGCATGAAAAAAATCAAAGTGTTGTAGTGTATATATACTATTTTTCAAATAATTGAATATATCATTTCATATTAGAACGGTTGAAAGGAGATTGAAGATTGAAAATTATGTTAAAAAGCTTCAATAAATGTAAATCTGATACACTCACATATTATTATAAATAATTACAATACATAGACCATAAACAATAACCAGTTTTAAAATCTAACATTTCTTTCTTAGTGTCTACTCTAATGTTAAAGATTAGACTATATGGTTGAAATACATTTCATACCTCTTGATCTTTGAGAGATTGGCGAGCAATCTTCAAAATTTGATTAGTTGTATAGTTCAATGTTCGTATTTCGTTTTCCATAAAGTCAGATCGTTCGAGAAGTAAATGAAGTAAATTTTCATCAACAGTAATAAGACGAGTAGGACGAGTAAATTCCTCTTCACATTGATCAGATTGAATATTCACCTCGCGATTTGGCATACCACCTATACGATATGAAGAAAAAATAAGTTTGAATAATATAAAAATACATGCCTTGACGACGTATTGTACGTGGAGAGTTAGTGGTATATGGCGATGCACGTTGTTGACTATTAGATGAAGTTAATGTATGTGAATGATCTACAGAGTATAAATCATTGTTAATATGCAAAATATATATGCCTAAGTTATTTGTATCGTATCTTCGTCCAGTAAAACAAATTTCATTTTCATTATCTTAAAAGAATTTTCATTTTCTAATGAGAGTGAGAAAACACGATTTTCACAAAATATTGAAGAACTTTAACTTTATGTTCGTAACGAATTCTGTCTCAATCAGAACTAAAGATGGAAAGAGAAAACCCATTCTTACTTTGTGTACTAGAAGAACGAATAGGTCCAAAATAATTAGTGGTTTGACTATAAGATTGATGAGCATCTGAAGGTTGACGAACATATGAAGGTTGATGAACATTAGAAGATCGGCGAACATTTGGAGATCGATGAATACTTGGTGATTGAAGTTGAGATGAATGCTGATGCAGAGATGAAGGTTGTTGCTGAGATGAAGTTTGATGTTGAGACGAAGATTGATATTCAGATGAAGATCGATATTGAGTTGCAGATGTTGAACTTGCAATGATAACACGCTGTGAAGCATTGTTTTTCGAGACAGTGCTCTTTGACATTTTCTAAAAAATCCAACAATTATAATGATCAGAAGAAGATAAAATTTACCTGGAGTTAAACGACTCGAAAATGATGAAGAGATGAAATGGTTATTTTTAACAATATCTAGAAAAAATAATATTTTAACAATTTTTTTTTCTTTCAATCATGTTCGAGTTCGTTATCGATAGGAGTACAGACAATAAAACGATTATCACAAAAAGGAAAACAAAAGCATTTCGAAAGAATTGCTGTGCATGGTAATATACAAAAAAGGTTAATTTTTGCATCAACAAGATAATAAAATTGGTCCACGTATACAGACCAAAGAGACAATTGCTCATCTACAGGAATAGAAGAAGAAAACAAATGAGATTGTGAACAAGGATGATAAGAGACAAAGAAAAACGGTTCACCTTGATACAAAAAAAAAAAAATAATTTTACCGAAACATTTTGTTTTGGAGCAGTTACTATTACTAAAGCATATATTGAAGCTACACGATTTTTTACGTAAAGAATAAGAAATAGAATGATATATGATAAGACGTTGTTTGTATCTGGACCGAAAAATAACAGATTGATCACGAGAACACGAAAACTTTAAAAGAAACAGATTTTCAAAATGTTGATTATACTGTTTAATGATATTTTCATTGATATAACCATCAAGTAAACGTTCACGAATAGTAATATTTTTTTGATGCTGAATCAACATGGAATGTACCGAACGTTGGACTATGTGCCAGTAGGCGATTTGTTCGCCAATACTTCTTGTACCATGAGCTAGTTTGTATAATCTGTTCAAATATGACTCAGCTCCAAACATACTACAAAAGAAAACAGTAACAAGTTAATTCATGATAAGTTGCAACATATTATTCATTAAATTCCACTCTTCTCTGGTCATAGAATATAATGATTGCTTCTTTTCTATATTCAAGAACGATAGAGATAGTTATTACTCATGTTGCAAGAGAAGGGTATAAAAGAAAAGAATAATACGAATTCTATTAGCGATATGTATAAGCATCTATCAAGAAGATTAGTAAAACATTAAACATAATTTGTTTCTTTCAAATGTACGAGCGTATCTTGCTAGTAATTATTTACAACAACAATTATATTGAACTAGAGTCGAAATACAATCTACCCTTTTTTTAATCGTTGATTTGATACTTTGGAAAAACAAAAACAAATTTATACATTGTTTCAATGAAAAAAAAATAAACAAATCAAACCTGGTGGCAGTGAGAGACCCGTGGCGAATCACTTGCTGCCACAGATGTGTATTACAATGTGTTGAAAGAAGCTGTTTTGACATGGGATAAAATTCTGAAAATCGTCGTAAATGAGTTTCAATAAATACACGTGAATCATAAACATTTTTTTTTTCATTAAAATGGCATAAAATTCTTATATAAATTGCATATAATGAAAAATGGTAAATCAATAATGGTGGAAAATAATGATTAAAGAATAAAAGAAATGGTAAAGCTAAGTAAATCAGAAATAATCGAAGCTGAGATGCTTTCCAATCATGAAATGATCGGAAACACCTAACTCGACGATGAATTGAATGGGGATAATCTATATTGCATAAGAAATCATCAAATTGAGCAATAATTTCACATGTTTGAATATTTGTACCAGAATGCATGTCATTCCATTCCTTTAGTAATACCTTCATATGACCCTAAAGCAAATTTTAACAAAAAAAATCTTTAAGTCATTTTCTGATGATTATTGCATGATAGAACTTGTTTTACAGTTTAAAGCTCTACAAGCAATGGAAGTTGTTCAAACATAAATTTTCATTGGCTGTTATTATGAAATCTGACTATTTTGTGATGTTTTTCAAGTATTTGGAAAAATTCTACGAACGAATTTCTCTGAACTATCTGCTATTTCTGAGGAAATATATGTTCGGTCTGATAAGCTACAACTAATCGAATCGAACGCAAACTTACTTCTAAACATAAATGGAAATAATCATATATTGCTTGAGTTGGAATAAAAAGAAGACGATTTAATGGTGATACACCTTTTATTCCAAAAACATTAATATTTTTACCACCAGTATTTTTCAGATATTCAGCTTCGTTCAAACACGATTCAAATCGATTTCTTGTTCGAAAACGTGGATTTTCTTGTACATATACGGACCATGGATAAGTACATGTTCGATCAGAGTCATAGTAGATTCCTTCGAATTCACAAACTCGACAAGCATAATATCCATTATGAGATATCATCTCGGTAATTTTTGATTGACCCGGACCATCAGCACACACACCTTGAATAAACAAGTCGAAGTGAATGGTACCTAAGTAAGCATAAACATATAGACTAAATATCTTTTTAAATAGGATGAATGGTTTCCTGACTATATGAGCTCTCATAGCATGAATAATGTTAAAATTTCAATGAGTATTACTTGTTCGAAGAAAATGTTATTTCTTTTCTTTTAGATACGTATAAACAGAAACTAGAAGTAATACTATTGATGATGGAAGGCAAAAGAAGAGAAAATTTGAATGGAACTTTATTGAAAAAGTCAGTTTTATATATCCAACACTTCTTACCTGTACCACGAATATCAATATCTATACCAGTTGTTAACAAAAGAGACAGATCATTTACAATACGATCAAGTAATTGTTCAGCTGTTGGGCCACATGATGAATGCCAAAGACATAAAAGTATTGTATTTTGTTCATTATCACGAAAAGGTCTTGGTATTTCAACGATAGTAGCTAATACCTATACAGAAAATTTCAAGATTATACTGAATAAATTTATCAAAACTGTCAAGAAAATTACGCATCTGTTTCTAAAAAGTAAAACAAACCTTAGGAATTCACCCACTAAATAGAATATCCAGTAAAATAACAACAAAAAATTATTTTTAAAGAAACAATCAATCTGGTTATGAAAGCAACATAAAGTAGCGGTGTCGCTTATCGTATACTTTATGATAAATATAGATTATGAGAAGTTTATATTTATTATAAATGTAAATATTTTTAGTGAAAAGTTTATATTAACAAATAATTGCAAATTATAATTTCTATTAATATAAATTATAATTTATACTTATTGTTAATATAAACTTTGCACTAAAAATATTTACATTTATAATAAATATAAACTTCTCATAATCTATATTTATCATAAAGTAAACGATACATATCACCGCTAACATAAAGCCTTCTTGTCTAAAGAAATTCAATACCTTCCTTCATATTATCACTTGCAGAAATATTTGCGATCAGGTAAAGAACGAAACACTTACCGGCCATAAAGAAGATTTACTGGATTTAATTGTTGGTTTTCCATCACATGAAAGCAATAATGTAATTGGATTCTTACTATTGTTTGATTGCTTTTTATAAATTTCACCTGCAAAAAAAATAGCATCTCACTCATCCTTTTTCTTTCTCTAATCAATTCAAGTGTATGATACCATGAAGAACATCATTTTGTAGACGATTCTTTTCTTCTCTGTACTTTAAGATCAGATCATAATTGTTTTTAATGACTCGACTAATTTCATGTGCAGCAGAAAAAATTATTAATTCTGATACAACCGGTTGTTGAAGCTTGCTGCAACCACATGAAGATCCAGGTACTAATTCTCTCATACAATTTGTACAGTATTGTATCTTCACGTAATCCAATTTGATATTCAGTTTTTTCCATAATTTATTACTTGATGAAGGTGGCAACTGATCTTGATTATGTACATGGCTTAGTAATGATAATAATTGATTTGTCTTAGTCTTATCTAAATTGGCTTTGCATATATATTTTGCAATATGTAATTCTATTGTTGGTTCAGTTCCATTTAGATCAAATTGTGCATTAATCATCAGATCATCATCTTGAATATTTCGTACATCATCATCATCATCTTGAATATTTTGTCCATCATCATCATCTTGAATATTTCGTACATCATCATCATCATCTTGAATATTTTGTCCATCATCATCTTGAATATTTCGTCCATCATCATCATCTTGAATATTTCGTACATCATCATCATCTTCAGAAAATCGTATATGATCATCATCTTGAGGAAAATGTACATAGTCATCATAATCAAAACTTTCCATATTATCAGCATCAACATCAGAAGATATAAAATCATTTTCTTCAATACAAAAATTAGACATTATTATAAATTCACCATAAGAAAAATCGAAATATTAATAAAAAAATTATTTTACCGTTTCTTTCTGTAATAGATAAATCAGGACATGTATTATTATCGAGACTGAATAAATTCGTTAGTTGCTGTCTCCTTTTTTTTTGTCGTCGTCTCGCAGACAATCGTTCTAGTAAGAAATAATGAATAAAAATGAATTATTAGAGTTTTGAATGATTAAATTACTATAAGCTAAAAATTCGTTTTTATTTCCTTCATTTTCAATATATGACATTGATGATATGGTTTATACAACAATCTAAAAAATAAAATAAAAATAATGCTATAGTTTATACAACAATCTAAAAAATAAAAAAGAATATAATGTTATAGTTTATACAACAATCTAAAAAATAAAAAAATATGATTAAATTAACAGGATAAAATTAACTATAATAATCATACAGATACAGACGACCGTTTTTTTTTCTTTCCTGCACATTATTCCAAAGTATACCATTCTCTATCCAAGACATGCTACCAACACATGTGTCGACACAACGTTACATGTGTCGACACGTAACGTACACATCAGTTTCCAGCGTGTCATTGTGTCGACACATGTGTCGCTAGCGTGTCATATAGACATGGGTGTTCACTCAGTTTTCATGCCGGTACTTTCGAAATAAATAGGAAAATATAGGACGAATTCGTGCTTTTTAGAAAAATTACTTGTTAAAGATTTAAGAAAAAATTAGTAACGCATAAAATCATGCACAATCTACGTCTCATACTATGGGAGAAATTCTATATGAATGTAACTCCAAATTGTTCAATAACAAGGTATAAAACTTCTTTTATGTTATTCGAAAGGTTAAGATTAAATGATTGTTGATATTCAATTTATTGACAGGAACTTAGTAACACATTCATGAAAACAACAATAAAGCAAACCAAGAGAGGAAACAACTGATTTAAATCAGCTAAAAATCAAAATTAAATCACTTTAACTCACTATAAAATCGTTTAAAATAAGCGATTTTAATTCATTAACGACTTTTCACAGTATCAAAGAAGAATCAAAATTGATATTTTCACTTGACTAGTATTTAAGAATTTTCAATCTGATCAACTAAATTAGAGAAAATCTCTCTCGTACATATACATTGAATGCTCATTTTGTAGCGTAGAGCAAGATGAAAAAAGCTGATTTCTATTGCTAGAAATCATTATAACACATTAAAGATATGTATAATAAATGAATTTTATTAAATTTCATCGAAAACTGTTTCACGAACCGTTAAAAATTACTAGTAATACGTTTGAAACCAAAAGTTCTAATTTCTATTGATTTCTAGCTATTTTTAATAATTATTTTGATTTTCGATAATTTTTAATATTACTACTGTCTCATCTTTTTTTTTATTATTTATTTATCGTAATTCTCCTTAATTTCTGAGCTTCTTCAATGATTTCTATTGATTTGCGGTAAATATATAAAACTGACATCTGCTGATAGAAATCACAAAAATCATTAGCAACTATGAAAAACAGTCTTTTCCTTCTGGTCGTAGAACGATGAACGTTCAAATATTTTTTCAAATAAGTTAGAAAACACGCCATTTTGAATAAATATGAGATATTTCTACGAATGCTGTGTATGTCCATCTAATCACATTAGAATGAAACGAAAAGCGAAAGAATTCTGTTAGTGTTTTGTATCCAGCTGAACCGCAGAGACATATTGAAAATGCTTTATATTTTCATTCTGTTTTCACGTTCTTTGGGTTGTTCTTTTCCGTCGATGCGTCGTTTTGACTATAGTATATCTTTTATTTGTTTGGCTGAATTTAGAGATATGATAGGGTCAGCATAATGTTCACCAAAAATACTGACATCGGACATTTACTGAAATCAATGTCCTTCACTAGGATGCGGGCTCTTCGATACTAATTTTCATTGGAAACAATTTGATAATTTTCAATCAATTGTATAATGGAAAACGAGTGAGAGAATATGATAAGAGGAAGATTCAAAACATGTCTGGTCTATCAATATCAACTTAGCATGATTCCGTCGAAATCTGATTGCATCCGACATTTTCTATCTGTCAGATCAAATATCTGACAACTTTCAATAGAATTCCATCTGAAGTCGTCAAATTCCTACGAAATTAATAAGATTATTTGGAGTATACTGATTGATTCGACAGAGTACAAACTTCCTCGTTCTGGTTAGACTAGAAGACGACTCTAGATTTGCTATGTAGCCTAAAATGAAGAGCGAAAGTCGATGTAAAATATGATTATTTTTAGATTTATAAGTGACCGTGTATCTCGCTTATAAGCTTCCGCAAGAGTGAGGTTATACATGATGCATCAAAATAACGGGAAAAATGAATATGGAACAGGATGACCGCCTAAGTGACTCGAACCAAAACAAAAATGCTGGGTAATCGTTCTGTATAATGCGCGTTATACCAGCGGTAGAGACTTAACATTGGCGGCATATCGGCAATAAACCGATGGTAGTTTCGTATTCTACTGTTAGGACTAGGACAATGTACATCGTTGTAGGCAGCTAATTAGTCAAATGAATTGTGACTCTAAAAAACTTTTCTTCTTTTTTATATTTCTATATCTTAAGTTGTATTGGAGTCCAATCTGACCTATTCTAATAAAAATGGAAGAAATAATCTTCAAATTTTTCTCCGAAAGAGTTAGATATCACTACAAAACGCCTCCTAGTATATAAATTTAAAAAATAAGTGTTTTCTTTTTGTCAAAAAAACCCGCTGAACTAATTTGCTGTCTGTGAGAGAGTGTACGTTTATTTTTACGAGCAATAAAGATATGGATCGTACACATGATTAATACTCGTTGATTATTTGTTTCATCATTTCGTTGACTGGAACTCAAAGTAAATGATTACACCTTTTATTTATAAAATATTATGCTTAGTGTTAACACGCCGTATGATAGCAAAAGTATAACAATAGATATATATCTATATAAATAAATACGATTGGTACAAACAATACGGCAAATTATTAAAATAATATTTGTAATCAATATATACAAAAAACGGAACACAACTCAACTCAATCTGATACACTGAAAATTTTACTAATAGTAAAAAAGGCAAGGGGGAAAAGGCGATACTCCATCTACTCCAAAAAAAAATTTGGAGTAGAGCGGAGTACGAATGGAGTAGAGTGGAGTATCACTGGAGTATCACTGGAGTAGGGTGGAGTATCACTGGAGTAGGGTGGAGTATCACTGGAGTAGGGTGGAGTATCACTGGAGTGGGGTGGAGTATCACTGGAGTAGGGTGGAGTATCACTGGAGTACGACTGGAGTAGGGTGGAGTATCACTGGAGTACGACTGGAGTAGAGTGGAGTATCACTGGAGTACAAGTAAAGTATAGGGATGCAACGGTGACGATCATTCACCGCTTAACCGTCACCGTTTCACCGGTCCAAACTGATAACCGTAGGTACGGTTCCCGGTCTAACTATGATAACCGTACGTACGGTTACCGGTTCAAACCCGTTGGCAAGAAAACACCATTTCAT